CACACATACACTCACAGCCTCTCTGGCCTCCTCCCATGGGGAAGGGCTACCTGTAGTATTTGCCTTGGTTTGGTGGGGTACAGTGGATGTGAATACTGTAAATAGCTTGTGCTCAGACTCCTCTGCGTGGAGGGGTGAGTGCAAGAGGCAGACCCTCCCAAGACTCCCTGGGGAGATCTTCCTCCCTCTATTTAACTGTGACTGAGGGGGAACCCAGGTCTGGGGATGGGGGGCACCTTGGGCCACAGGATACTGGTTGCTTTAGGGGTACCCATGCCCCCTGCCTTCGCCTGGAATCAGTGTTATTGCATCTGATCAAATTTCTCCAGAAATAAAATGAGAATAATTCTGCCAGTGCTGTCTCTTCTTGGGGCTGGCAGTGGGGCTGGGAGCAGGTGGCCTCCTGAGTTCTAAGAAGAGGAGCCAGGGGCCTGCAGGTATCCATGCCTACCTGGTATCAGTCCTAGACATCCTGCATGTGGCCTTCCTTTTTGTCATTTATTCATTTAACAAAAATGGTTACATCTACCCCTTTTAGGCAGTGAGCTTCTGTGCCAGGGATGCAGCAGTAGGAAAAGACTTGGCCTCTGCGCTCATGGAGTTGACAGTCTAGCAGGTGAGCGTCAGAGGCATAGTTGTCCACTCAACATCCATTCCCATTGCCCCTTCCTCATTCCAGACAGAATCCTGATTTTGTTCAGGTGGCTGTCTTCCTCCTGGATCTCACCCTGTGCTTCAGCAGAGAAGCATATATATATATATGAGATGTATCACTTTGCTGTACACCAGAAGCTAACACAACATTGTAAATCAACTATATTTCAATTAAAAAATTTTTTAAAAAAAAGGAAGATCCGTTGAGGAGGTGGAGCTTGGTGCAAGGTAAGGCAGACCATGCAAGGCCTTGTTAGGCTCTGTCAGGAGTTTGGATTTTATTCCAAGGACCATGGGAAGAGAATGAATGCTATTAAATGGGGGTGGGAAGGGTGAAATGGTCAGATTGGCATTTTTATTAGACCTCTCTGGCTGTTGGATGGGAAACCAGTAGGGACTTGATTGTAAACTGGGAGACCAGTTAAAAAGTGATTGCCAGGGTCCAGACAGGAGATGATGGAGGGTTAGGCTCAGGAAACAGAGGCGGAGAGAAGTGGGCCACATTAATTTACTTATTTATTCAAGAAACACTGAACGCCTACTATGTGCTAGGACTGAGGTGCTGGAGATTTTCAAATGGGCAAAAATTGACAGGGTCCTTACGCTCACGGAGCTTACAGTCTAGTGAAAGAAACAGACATTACTTTAATACTACAACCTGGACTCCCCTGGTGGTCCAGTGGTTGACTCCTCGCTCCCAATGCAGGGGGCCCGGGTTCAATTTCTGGTCAGGGAACTAGATCCCACATGCCGCTCTTGTGGGATCCTGCATCCCACAAGAGCCCTCATGCGGCAACGAAGATCCCGCGTGCTGCAGCTAAGACCCGGCGCAGCCAAATAAATAAATAAAATATTAAAAATAATACTACAACCAAATGGACAATTACAACTATGACAGGTACATGAAGGAGAAGTATGTGGTGCTGGGAGGGTGAATAATGAGGAATCTGACCTGGTCAGGGAGGTCAAGAGGAGGGTGTCCCTGAGAAAGCAATGCTGGAGCGGAGATCTGAGGGAATAGGAGTTAACAGGGCAAAAGGCTGGAATTCCGCGCAGAGAAAACAGCAGGTGCAAAGGTCCTGTGATGACCACAGCCAGTGTAGTTGGAACAGAGAGTGAGAGGGAGGATGGGGCCAGAGAGGGGGGAGGGACCAGACCATGCAGGACCTGATGGGCCATACTAAGAGTATGGTCTTTATTGCAAGAGCACTGGGAAGCTGTTGAGAGATTTCAGCAGGTGGGTGACATGATCAGATTGATGATTTGAAAAGATTATCAGAAGCTACCACCTGGAGAGGGGATTGAGAGAAGGAGAGAGGAGTGACAGTAGGGAGTCCAAACAAGAACACCAATTCTGGGCTTCCCTGGTGGCGCAGTGGTTGAGAGTCCGCCTGCCCATGCAGGGGACACGGGTTCGTGCCCCGGTCCGGGAGGATCCCACATGCCGTGGAGCAGCTGGGTCTGTGAGCCATGGCTGCTGAGCCTGCGCGTCTGGAGCCTGTGCTCCACAACGGGAGAGGCCACGGCAGTGAGAGGCCCACGTATCGCAAAAAAAAAAAAATAGAACACCAATTCTGGTGAGACATGATGGGCCCTCCATCCAGTGAGTGGTGGAAACCGAGGGGTAGACAGAGGAACTGAAAAAATGGGGAAAAGAAAAGAAAGGTGTCAAGGATGACTCGAAGTTTTCTGAGGCAAATAAGCAGATGGATACTGGTATCGTTCACTGTGAGAAGGAACTCTGGAAGAGACCCAGGTTTAGGGGGACAGATCATGAGTTTGACCTAGAAGTTGGTGGTGGATAACAATTTCTCCTACAGGTCTGGAGCTCTGGGAATGGGTCTGATCCCATAGGCTGGGAGGAAGGGGCCTGGAGGCCAGGAGGGAAGAGTGCAGGGGACGTTCTAGGAGGGTGCAGTGTCCAGGCGCCTGGGGCCTGGGGCCTCTGGCACATCACGGGGGGTTGCTTTGGAAGAACTGGCCAGGCTGCAGAGAGGCCGGCCTCCTGGTCTATTTCCTGGTTTCCTGCCTGAGCTTTAGGAATGTCCGGTCTGTTCCTGAGCAAGACCGAGCAGAGTGGAGGCGGGGGCAGAAGCCTGTGCTCCGGAGAGCCCTCCCTTTCTCCAGTTCTGTCCCTTTCCCAGCAGGGCCAGACCAAGCAGGGCCAGAGGAGGCAACAAATGCCCTTCCCTCCTCCTCCCTTTATCCCAGCTGCCACCGCTCCTGAGCGTCGGCTGTCTTATAACCGCCCAATCCTCCCGCTACTTTCTTTACCAGCTTCACGGGCGTCAGTCCGGATGGGCCTCCGTCAAAGGAGCGGTCATTGCACCCCTCAGCCTGGGCCCGGCTACTCCATGAACGGGCATCTGGCTCCCCCACGTGGTTAAATAAGCACATTGACGAGCTAGGTGAGGCCGGAGCTGCCGGGACCAGAGGCAGGGCTGTGGCCAGGGTCCTGGCAGAGAGGTCAGGAAGTGAGTGTCCAGTCCTGGCCAGTGACTCACTCTATAACTGTGGACTATTCTCGTGACCTCTGTGAGCTTCGATTTCTTCGCCTGCAAATTAGGGCTAGTGATCTGGGTGAGGCATTCCTTGAGCTAATACATAGAATAAAAGAGTCTTGTTAGTTGCAAGACCCCCCCCGCCCCCCCCCCCCCCCCCCCAGCCGACACGCCGGGCCGG